TACGTACTTGCGGTTAGAGTCCAGCTGTGATAGCGTCCAAGCATGTTTCGTTCGCTTTCGGCAACCTAGCCGCTTGCTTCATGTAAATCCGTACAGTTTTTCTGCTTACATAATCCCATCCAAATATTAATGCTTTTCGCGCAGTCAACTTATAGAATCCCGAAGCCAAATGCACCTATATATTTCGCAAAGCAGTTGCTTAATTCATTTCAACCGTTGCGTAATTATTATTCGTCCTTGTGTTGACAATGCTAGGACCTTTCTTTAGGTTCTTTAATGCTATGCTGTTCGTTAGTGAAATATTGGGTTACTCTGCCTAGCATAATCTAATTATGTCCGCTAAATTTGCACTGATATGCCTTGACTTTTCCAACGGTAATCTCGTTAAGGTACTTTCAACTCTACTGCCCTTATCTTAGATTTACTGAAAGCGACATTCAAATGTCTTTCTAGTACAGCATGCAAGTTACAATTAATAAGCTATTTGGCATAGTAACAACACCAGGATAATTGCTGCTGAATACAGGCATGGCGACATGACTGTAAGTCTTGCTATTTCTAGACATCAACTGTGTGCACTTAGGTATTTGTCTATTATTAGGCTTGTTTAGCGTCGGAAGCCTTATTGCAAATCTGCCATTCTCAGTCTGTCACGGTAGTCCTTGGTTCTATGCTTAGTCGACTTGCGTGTTGTCAGCTTTCATCCAATCGTTCAGTTTTCAGGTAAATTATCGATCTCAGAAACGATTTGTCTGTTCTAGAGACTATCTGTGCTGAGGTGTACGAAGTATCCGGAGCTTTGACTATGAGGTTTCGGGAAATAATGTTACTACTCTTGAGATATCTGGTGGTAAAAATCCGATTGCTTTTGCATATGGTTTCATTGCACGATAGACGCACAAGTTCAGTGGCCATTTGTGGAAAAGAAGGTCCATGTCTACTGTCTATATTCCAAAATAGCCTTGTAACCGGCTGATCACAAAATCTCCCAAGATGATGACTTCGGATCGGTTCCAACTCTCGAGCACTCGATTATTATATCTATTTACTAATGTAAAACAACGGAAGCAACACGTGTCTTTTTGTGTGCCTGGGAGTAGATGTATGAGCGGACGCCTTCGAGCCAGTGAAAAACTGACGAGTCCCTGTAAACACGACTTGATTCACTAACCCAGCGCACCATGCAACATCATTGTCTCTTGCAAACCTTTAAATCAACTCGCTCTAGGGCGAACAGCTTACCCGTTAACAACACCCGTGAACTCGAGAATAATATCTTTACTTCCGTTTTCAAAACAATACTTATCTTACTGTATATACAAGGAGTTCTGCATATCCCGTTTTTGTCGTATGATACCAAAGTGTTCTTCCTATGAATCCACTGGCTTTACAAATACTGGTTCCCTTTGAGTTTTATTTAGCAAGTGAAAATTCATATCAATGTTCACCGAATACTTGAAGCTTTAAACAAACGAATAAAATTGTACTCACCAGGATCTGAATTTTATTCCACGGATCAATTGTTATATTTATGAAATTCTTCTCATCTCCTAACCACAGGACCGAGTCTAGGCAAGATAAAAGTATGTGCATTTAGAAAAAGAAGCCAAACACTATAAATTCGGATATTAACGTACAAGTCTCATAAATGACAGAGCACTGTGGACCCAAGCTATTCGAGGACAGAGAACCGGATCTCAGCACGTCATCAACTATGTCAAGGGTCATCATACTACGGCCAGCAAACCGCATCCGACACGTGAAGTCAGTCCATCCGCCCTGCCAACTCTACCCGAATTTGTTTGGAAAAGTGCATGGAACAAGAGGTTGCGATAAAATTTATATTTGACATTGCATGTAGTACCGCTTGTGAACTTATACTGTTTAAACACTAGCATAACTTGCCTCCCGACTGTTATACCTGAAGCCGTACTGCCATGCTATTATTGGCCCCCCATTGTAGGGAAATTGACGTGATTGATCACGCATGAAACACAGTCATCCTTGTACTCTACTGTGTTTTTGTTTACCTCACAAGTTTATGCCCCAGTTATTCGTTGGTCAGCTTCATCGAAGCACGTGTCATACGAATCGCCGCTTTTTATGGCGCCGTTAGTTTATGCATGTGTTTTCTAGCTAGTTGGAACGAATTGCAGGTTGTTGATAGAAAATTAAGCTGGAAGCGCAAATTTCTCGATTCGTACATCTTAGTATTACCAAATGAATGTAATAAGTATCGGTAACCAGTTCCAGCATTGCTTCCTGATTCGGAATTGGTGGATGTACCTGGCTCAAGCTTTCGGGAGCGTTGCTGCTTACTCACACATAAGTACATATATTGCAGACGTACTTATTGGATATATTCTATTACTAAATATACCAACGAAATTCGCATGTACCTTTGGTGAGCCGTAGCTTCCCCAATGACCATCTGTCCCCTGTTTTTTGGTGTTCAAAAGGAGTTTTCTTATGTGCTCAACATTAACATCTTTTTCCTGTTCAGGTCTTTATTTCAGTCTACATTAAGGCTACTAAGAAAAAGAAGGCAGGCACCGCTTGTCGCGTTTTGATTGTCTTTCTACTCACAGATTGCAATTCCTGTGCGTAAGGATTATGGGGCCAGTGCTATTAGTTTTGTTAGTTATCAGGCTCGCTCTAGTCGTCTTATCTAGTTATCCGACCCCTTGAGAAAAAGGTTTTGGAGCCCTGTACAGCGGTACTACGAGAATGCCAGTTGAACCGCGTTTTGATAATAATTTCTTAACCCAATTTGAAGTTTTTCTCAAAACATCTAATTCGATCTTATTTTGCCTTTAGCTTTTAGTGTAAACGTTGCTATTTCTTTACTACGGTGGCAGCTATTCTATGCCAAACCTATTACGGCCTTAATTCGGCGCCTTTCCAATTAAGACGTTAGTGAGTGTGTAATCTGGATCAATTACGCTATGTAAAATGGTTCCCACTTTGGAAGGCTTATAAACGTACTACCAAGAAATAAGGCGATCTACAACTTGTACTTCAAGAAAGGCCTCCTCTGTTTGCTTGGATTTGCGGCGTGCGAAGCAAAATATATTATTTTTGACGCAAAATGTTTGTTGAAATAGTTCGGAATACTGGTAGCTGGTGTCGTTTTTCCTTATGTTACGTGGTTCTTTGGGAGGGACAGTCTGCTTGCAAAGGTTTCATCACCAGACGAACTGACATCCTCACTGTATAGGAAGAAGTGCTTTGGTTGCAAATGTTAGCAACGGGTAATCACCTTATCCATTTGGTATATTAGGATGCTATGGCGTGAGCCTAACTCTCTAAGGTATAAAAGTAGAAGACAGAAAATAGCTCAAAGCTCCAGAAAATAGGCAAATCCAGATATTGAACCGCATATAACACCTCATTATACACTACTTGACCAGCTTAAGTCATAAATGAAGATATGACCGTTTTACCTAAGTATCTATTGTTTGTGGTCGGCTAACATTACAGCTGATTAGGTTAGCAGTTGAAATTTAAACCTACCTGACTTTAACAGACTGTGTTGAAATTTGTGCAGCCCCGTCAGGTTCCATGTGAACTTATTCCAGTGTAAAATGTTTTCCGAGTGCAACGAATTACCACTGTCCTTTCTCAAACGCAGTCCGAAAGTATTCACAACCTTGTCCTTCAACAAGGAGCTCATGGATAACGACATGTTCTGCCGATAACGCGAATAGTTTACGACAGCAACAATTCTTTCCTGTCAAAATGAAAGATATCACAAACTAAGGAACCGAAATGAACCGGTTGTCTGACACCATGTGCACTGACGTTCGCATGCTATGCTGATTGCGTTAACTATGATGGTTCAAATTATAACACAGTAGTCGAATGGTTTGGGCACATCAAATACCTGGCCAGAAGCAGCAGTTCTAATGCCGAAACACCAAGCATTTGCTTATGAGATTAGATAGGTTCAAGAAATTTACGCGTCTAGAACAAAAGAATGGTATATCGACTTTCATCTTTGTACGCAGGCTGTACTCAATTTACTGAGATAGCAACAATTTTAAGTCGCGTGTGCCATCAACCGACGCTGATTTCTCGCGCTCCTGTTTTTTACAGATGTACTGATCGCTGTCCTCTGGCAGCTTAGTCATCGTACGTGCTTTCGATGAGGATTTATTAGACATACACAGTGAACAATAAAAGGTGGAATTATTTTCAGCTATTTAGGATCCCATACATACACCCATGCTTCAAAAGTCCTTCGCTTGAGCCTACTGCTCATCTGGCGACATAAGTCGATACAAATCTCAAAGCTGTCGGACAAGTCCAAGCTCATACTAATACGGTATTACACAAGAAAGCATTGGAGGAATTTATAAAAGTTTGTGCTGTGCCCATCGTTCAGGTTCTGCTTCAAGACCCGACCCCGACCCGCACGGAGCTAACACTGATCGATTAACGGATCAACATTGTTCGATTCTATCCTTGCCGTCCACTGCAGTCGAGGACTTGTGGGCGCACGCCATTGGCATCGGAATATTGTACTATTGACTGACCGTGCAACAACGGTGTAATTAGGATATTGCCTGCTATCCATGAACATGGCCTAATTCACGAGTCAATGGGACTTATAGTATTCTGCTCTAACTGCTGTAAGGCATTCCACTCTAAATGAATAGGGGTAATACCATTCAGAGCCAAACCAATAAAACGGCCAGACGGCGGCGTTCTGTATCTGTCAAGTTCATACAGGTGTTAATGAATATGTTTTGGGTGCTGACGGAAGCACTTAAGCAACCGTCAGAGTTTCACCCATGGAATTAAAGGAAGCTGAGCTTGCAACTCAACGAACCACTCCAAGGTTCTCGCTCGGACCAAGGAGGAGAGCGCGGCATCATAACCTTACCCCATTGACATAGTCTCCAGCAGTCTAAATTCACTTTGTCCACTTAAGTGGGAAAGTCACCTACAGCTTGCTCTTCTCCACTTCCTTTCAGGGTCTTGCGCATGGTAATTCGCGTGCCATACCGGGGACGCAAAGCTATATCTAGTCCACCTTATAAAGGAACTGGGTATCATACGCATCAGTTGAGTTCAGATAAACAACAGAAAAGCGTCCGTGACTCCAATTGATGGACTGCGGGAAAATCAGGTATCACAGCCTGGAATTCTACCACAAGTACCACGTACTAATTCGCTAAATCCAAAGGAACTATATGCTTTTAGTCCCATAAATATCAGTCGCCAAAATGGTGCCTAAGGTATTGTGGGCACTGATATTCACGAAGCCGATTCCAGTGCGATTAAAGGTAAGATGAAAGACGACTTTGTCAAAATATTTTACCTGCATTGCTAGCGGGAAATTGCTGATCCCACACTGCATTACAGCGAGCCTAAGTGTCTTCTGGTAACATTGAATTATGTGCATAAGACTGCGCATTTGGTTGTCTGTGAAGTACATCCGCAAATCATCAAGTGGATTGTGCTTATCGACGGATATCCCGTGAATAGAATATTAAAAGGTACGAGCAACTAAAGAAAATCAAAAAGGTCAAGACCAGAAAACTGAGGTTGATCACCGTTTTCTAGATATACACGCCTTCTCTTTGGATGATGTTAGAACCCATGGCCGGGGTAACTTTGCTGGATCCCCGAAAATCTTGGTAATACTAAGTTGATAACGGTCACCATGTCACCTAATTAAATAGGGTGTGGTACTAGCCCGTCTAAAGTTGTGACACAAGCTAAGTTGACATTACAGACCCTTCTAGCTAATTGATCAGAGTTCCGTAGAAAAACGCCAATGTAAATTCGGCGGAAGGCAACGAGTACAAAATCCATTGGTAAGTCTTTGAAGTAGTAAGCGAGGTGAAGATGTTCATGGTAATAGCCGTTATAACATCCGGTGAACAACAACAGGATATGGCTGGTCAGAAGCAGCATCAGGGCTTGGAGTGTATGGTGAAAGTAATATAACACAGCTACACCTAGACAGCTTGCGAGCTCTTAAATAAACGAATAGCTGCTGACATTACGGGCTGTGAGGTAGACTCGAATCTACATTTTACATTTCCGACCAGGTTTTGAAGTAAAGACGCTCTCTTGCTTTTACACCAACTCACAAAGGTCTATTGGTCCGTCGCAACAAGACTGGACGTTAACTTGGTGCGACGCTTTGGGTACCTTATTGACCCATTGAGCTATTCTTAGTGGTGCCTCCGGTCCCTTGAAAGCTACTCCTACCACGTTGGTCAATGGTGAGTGGTCAGACCAACTCAGTCTCCTGGTCCTTAAGTTCAGGGGTTTGAAATGGGATGGCGTCCATTTCTGTAAAACAAAATCCTTGCCACCTCGCCGCTGCCTTGCGGACAGAATTTCGAGCCAAAGGCTTCGAATGAGGGCCCTAATCGTCCTCCTGTCTAGGTCTGGGCGCCCTGACAGTATCTTAGCCTACATAAAACTATGACCTTTTCTTCAACCATAAACTTCGTCCTGCATCGGCCGTCGCGCAGATTATCAAGCGTCGCCTTATCTGCTGCATACAGCAGGGCGGATAAGCGAAAGCATGCCAATGCTGGCGCCTCCCTTCTTTCTTTTCCACCTTTTTCTCTTACTACCATCCCGAACCCCATTACTAACCTTCGTTCTATAATTTCCAGCATAATTGACAGTAACCGAAGTGCCACTGGAGTAGAACCTTCTGCAGCCACCTCCTCGCGACACTCGCCGGACGCCTATCAGTAACAGTCCCTTATAAGACAACACTGTCCCGTTTCCATGGCGACGTTCAACGTTCGCACCCTAAAACAAATAGGTCAACAGGCTACACTCGAAAGCATCTTGGACACACTGGGTGTCGATGTGTGTTGTGTGTCCGAAACTAGGATTAATGACCCTAATGGGGCTGTTGAATTAACTGCACCCGACTTATCCTCTCCATATTGGTTGCACGCATCCAGAGACCCCGATGCAACACTCATGGGTCAAGCTGGTGTAGGTATCATTCTAATCTCCAAGGCTGAGCCATCGTTGGTTGAGTGGATTCCGGTGAACAGCCTTTTATGTGCAGCCCGTTTGACGACATCAGCTAAGGTTGATTAACGAAGTAGTACAAAACGCTGTTTGTTTGTGATTTCCGCTTATGCTCCCACCGACTGCAGTTCAAATGCTGTCAGTGACACATTCTATCACGAACTGAACGCGCTACTACGCAGTGCTACTAGTTCAGATATTATAGTACTTGCAGGGGATATGAACGCACAAGTAGGGCGTCTGAGCTCTTCAGAAGCTCAACTGCGTTTTAATTATAGGTTTAACTCCGAACGGATTTACAACGGCCCGCGTCCGCTACAAGTGTGTGCGGAGCACCAGTTGTTTCTTAGTAGCACTGCTTATAGACACAGTGGGTGCCGAAGTGCCACTTGACGTCCTCCTGTAGCTGGCCAGCGATTGACCCAAATTGACCACATAGCCATAAGTTACAGATGGCGTGGTCCCATCCTGGATTGCCGCTCTTACTGAAATACCTGCGTGGACTCTGCTCATGCCTCGGTTACGCTGTCCTTTCTCCATGAAGTTTACCGGGATGCTCACCAAGCGTCTCCTCCGATTGACAACTGAGAAATTGTCTCAGTCCTCGGTAATAAAAGTCTATCAAGATGCACTACGTACCGAACTTTCGCTGTCTTGTTTTAATGACAGTGAGCTTCAGTGAAATAGGATACTGGCCGCCATGCTCGACGCAGGAGCATCTGCTTGTGGCACTATCCATCGTCACCGCAACAGTCACTGGGTATCCGAGAGGTCGATGAACCTGTTGGAATCCAGAATAATCTAGGAGAAACCTACCGGCTGTCTCTGAACACAATGTGACCAGACGGACTATTAGGCGTGAACTAAAGCAGAGCCTACGTGCTGACAAGGGAGCCTGGTTGACCAGTCGAGCTCAAGAAATGGAAGAGGCAGGAGCAGTAGGCAATTACCGTAAGCTCTTCCAGCTAATGCGCAACATAGGTCCCATAAAACCAGGCGTCAATGAGACAAGCAGAGATAGCGCGGGTGCACTGTTGCACAATAAGGAACGCCGTATACCTCGTTGCGCGAAACATCTGCAAGATCAGTTCAGCTGGCTCCCTGCTCTTGGAAGTCTTCCTACTCAGATGATACAGGACGAGCCATGAACGGTTAGTTTAGAGCCTCCGTCAGAGGCCGAGGTCCGAAACGTGATCACAGTTGTTAATCGTTTTCGTGCAGCTTGCCCGCGTTCCCTCTCACCTACACTTTTTAAGGATGGAGGTGAGGTCTTCTGCCAAGCACTGACCTTATTCGAACGCATCTGGAAGGGAGAGGGTGCCCGGCTAATTGAAGTGAATCGCCTATAGTAGCAATATGCAAAATGGGCAGTCGTACAGACTGTTCTAACCACAGGGGTATTAGCCTAACGCCAGTTGTGATAAAATTATTGGCCTGGATTATCGTTCGTCGTCTCACTGCGGAACGGGAATCTCGGATTAGGGAAGAGCAGGCAGGTTTCCCCCAGGACGTGGCTGTATAGACCATATATTCACTTTGCGACAGATGCTAGAGCAGCGCCACGCAAACCTCAGACCGACAATAGCTGTGTTCCTCGAGTTCAACAGTGGGTTCGATTCAGTCGATCGATCGATTCTGTTCGAAATACTTGCGCGGAAAGATGTTTTCACGAAATATGTGAAAATTCTTCTTGCTACAGGTCGATTCACCGTCCACGGT